CGCCAGGGCACAGGCCGCAGGAGAAAAGAAACCCAAAATGCATCTAACACGCATGCTGGCTCCTTGATACCGGCTGTTTGTTCCACAAAACTGCTCTGATTAGGATGTGCTGCCCTTTTTTTTTTTCCAAATGAAAACAGACTTATCCAGAGAGCTAGTAAGATTCACTAGGTTGGGTGACTTGATATGGCAAGCACTGTAAAAAGCCACCTGTTTTAGGAGAATGTAACACAGGAGAGAAGAGTCGGGAAGGATGCTGAGGAAGGCTAAAACGTTTAGAAGACATCACAAACATCATTTTTGCTAGGATTTAAATCCAGACTTCTCTTATTATTTTCAGAGGTCCTGCACCTGTAAGAATACCTGTGCTACCATTATTCTATAAATGGTAAGAACTAACACACGGATTGATTCCTCAATAAATTTCATTTATTTAACCTGAAAGGAGCACAGAAGCAGCATATTCATCTTCCATTTTAGAAGAAACTAATAGCCCAGTTATGCTTTTTTCCCCTCAATATTTCATGTATGCTATTCTGTGCTTGCTCCTAATGCAAGCCATGCACCCAAGCTGATAAAGTCTTTAAGCTCCCAGAAGCACCCAAACTCTTCCAGAAACCAAAATCAATTCCAGACAGCTTTCATCTGTTCCCAACCTCCATTTGGAAGCATATCCATAAATAATTAACCTTAGAATATAAATACCATTAATCAGTATGATAACAAGGTCTATAAAGTTGTGAGCTACACAACTTCCCATGTATATATGATGCTAGCAAAAAGGACTTAACATGCATACAACTGAGTATTTATATCATCTGAAGGCTTGTTTTAAAGTAAGGGACGTGCTTCTGGCAAGAACTCTGCTAAGTCCTAACACCGACAACCACGACAAAATCCTCATATCCTGTATCTGTGTTTTGTGTGGATCTTCGCTTGGGAGGGAGGAAAAATAATAATCATCTTATGACTAACTAACTTGTTGAAAGTCTGCAATCTTTCCTGCTATGGGATCATGGAGGATGAACATAAAAGAATATTTCATCACCTCACTCAGTTTGTTCTCTTCACAAACTCTAAAGAACTGGGATTCCAAGGGTCACACCAGCTCATCTTCATCCCACAAAAAGAATAAGCCATCCGCAATCAGCAGCACAGGGGAGGGAAGCCTGTGAGATGAAGTGTTGGATGGGACGGAAGCACCCTGAGCTTTGCACACACTCCAGGGTGTATTTCATTCCAGTTGCCATAGTGAAGCAGGGAGGAACCGGTGTCGCTTCTATTCTTAAGCTGTGAATGATCCTTTGCACCCACACAGGCGGGTGTCTCTTTTGAAGTTTAAGATCAGGATTCAGAAAGCCACCAAGATTTGCATTGCCTGGAAATTATTTTTAACCCTGCAAGGTTTTGAAACTTTTGATAAGATTAAAAAAAAAAAAATCTAGTTATACCATTTACCCAGTCTACCGGTTAGCAGAATTACAAGCATTTTATCAAAAAGTATCTTTCATAATTTAAAATGTTACTTACCCTTAAAAACTCAAAATGGAAATCTGTTTCTTTAAACGAATAATTGCCACTGATAGTTCCAAATCAAAGCTTCTTAAAAACAAACAAGCCCCCAAAACTTTTAATTTTTTGTTTGCAGATGGTCTTCCTGATCATCTCAAAATTTTGTACAGAGGTTGGGCTGCACTTCTCTAAGTTTAAACCTTCGCACAGTGGTAGCCACAATGCTCAGCTGGCCACCTTCACCTACCTGCCTGCATTTACCTGCAAGAAAAGTAAAGTTTCTGAATCTTCTCCTTTGAAATCTCTCCAGGTCTCAAACACATCACAGAAAATTTGAATGATGTCACTGAAACGTTAGTAGCCTAAAAAAAAAAAGTATTTTTCTGGAAGTTTTTAAAAGGAGAAGTAAAAAGCGAAGTCAAATGCAGGGAAAAGCATACAAAGATATCACCAGAAGTCACTGCAAGTATTAACCTATGTACCCAGTGGTTCAAAAGCAGCAAAACCTCCAAGTTAAAACCTCTGGCATGATATATGCAATCTGTTCCTCCAGCTTTAACTGCACCAGCTGAGCTGGCAGGAAAGCATGCCCTGCTTAATCTGCACCAGGTTTTGGACGATATCACCCAAATCCCAGTGTGACTGCAGCACAATGATGGACACTGCTTCAAAGCACCCGCTCGCTCGCTCCACAAGCCGACGGCACCTGCAGGGGCAGAAGCCTCAGTGTGAGCCCTGCCAGGCCCCTGCCAGCTCTCAGGGCAAGGCGGCGGTGCGGGTACGGATGAGGGACTGATCTCTAGGCATAAAGCGACACACACTAGAAACAGAAGGGATTCAAAGAGCATAAGTTATTCCCATACTGCAAGCGA